TTTTGTGGGAGAGCAAATGTAATAAATGATAACATATTTTAATTGTATGGAATCAGATGAATGGCACTATAAACTAGCGAATATTTTTGGTTGATATCAAGAATATTTGTTATTCAGATGGTCGAAACCAATTAATTTAGATCCAAATATCAAAGTCGAAACTTTATCTCTCCACCTCAAACCCTCCTTTACTTTGACTGTATATGTTAACAAATTATTGTCAAACTTTGTCTGTTTTCCCTACTTTGTATAGATATCCAAACATTATCTGGTTCGCCAGACATAATCTCTCATTTATTCTATATATAGTAAGTATAGACTAATACTGTTTTTATATCACATCATTAGTTATGGTATCATTGAGAGAATTAAAGAAAATCATTCCGATTTTGATATGCTAATTGATGACGACTTTGGATGAATTACATCAGTCTGTGCCAAATTTTTTGATGAAATATATGTTTTTTCTGATTATAAAGCTAACCATTATGTTCAAAGGGAAAATGTTTACCACTTCAAAACCACGATTAATGATTTAAAGATGAAGCTTTTGCCAAAGCTGTTGAGGAATATAAAAACGAGATTTAAAGAGTGAAAAAAGTTTGATGGTAAATCCATTTGATTATGAATAGCAGTACAACTTTAAATTTTAGATTTTATAATTGCTATGATTTATGTTGTTAAAAGGCTATATATAAAAAGAAAAAATAGATCAACATGTAATAATGTGATTCGTTGCATTTTATAGGTTTTCTGCTCTTTGTTAGGTAATAGCACACACCTTCATTCTGCTTTCTTTCCTTAATGTTTATTATTTTTCTTTCTCCTTGGTAAATTTCATAAATAATCTTAGATAAAAGCTTCTAGTGTGCGAGTATCATTTATTTTGAAGATATAAGGAGCAATTTTCTCGCCTTGTTCCTTTTTCAAATACTTCCAAGTACTATAATTCTTGGGTTCCATAGTAGGTTTGATATAAATTAATTTCATTTTTATATAGGAATAGTTCTATATATCACAAAAAAAAATCAAAACGAATATATAATAATAATAACTAAATTTTTGATCCCTGAAATTTCTTTATGGCATAATGGTCATCTGATTTTATTACAAGCCCCATACTAATATATAAATATAAATTTCGGAAATATCAGTAATACCGGAAATTCTCGGTTGCGTAAATAAACGATTTGGATTGGTCGAAAAGAGTATTTCCGTTTCAATTATCATTATATATGTGAGAGTATTTAATATTAAGGAGGAAATTCTCACAACATAATAATAATAAATTGTTCGGTCAGCAAGAAATTAAAAAAAAACCAAATTTTTCAAAAAAAGGCTATTAATTTGATTCAACGATAAAAAACATACAAATACAATACATATACAAACATAAATATTTAGATTTGTTATTATTTATTTATTTATTTATTTAAATTTACAGGTAAAAAGTTTGTGTGAGAAAATATTTTTTAAAGAGGAAAAACAGTGATATTTATATATATATATATAGAAGAGTGTTGTGTTCTCGTAAAAAGGAACTTCTGAT